CGTGTGAGTTAGCTCTCCAATTGGCCAGGTGTGTGATCGTGTGATCAGGAATGACCAGGCGGCCTCTCCAGCGGCCCTCCTCCCAGGCTCTGAAGCAGCCTCGGGGGCCCTCAGGGGGGCAAAGGTTGTGCAGGCACACACATGCTTACCTGTACGCAATTCTTTCCCTCTGCAAATCTTCCAAGCCGCAGCACAGCTCTGCAGCGTAGAACACAGCTCGCTGCTCATCGAAGCCAGGACTGCCGAGGTTGTAAATGTGAAACTTTAGGTCCCCTCCATTCATAATGGTTAGCACCAAGCACAAGGCATCTTTCGTTTCATATGTGTAGGATAAACTAACCTAAGGACAACAGCACCAGACAAACAGAACACAGAAGGGCTGACTCAGTAACTGACGCTCCGCAGGCTGTGTCAGATTCAGGTGTTAACAGCCAGCTACTAAGTACACCCAGGATTTACACTGCACATCAGGCCCCCCCATCCAGATCTTTAGCACAGACCCCAGCCCAATATGAAAACCTGTCTTCACAGCAGCTCTGTACCCAAAGGAGACAGACGTTTGTCTAAGTGTATTCAGCAGAACCCTAGGATCATGATTCCCAAATCCTTGTGCTAATTAATGGATGCCCGCTACCCCACACACCTGCAATACATCATCCCAGCAGCTCTGCCAATCTGAAAAATTCCCGTCATGCTGGTGGAGGCATGTTGGTGTGCTAATGGGATTCTAATCTGCGTTTCTGCCTATTCCACCAGATGGAACACATCCATGTAGCTTATATGTTTGCTGTTGTCAGAGTCATATGTGACCCTGTCCCATTGGTGTCAAGCCGCTTTCGACTCATACTAACCCTATGGACACCCAACTAGAGCAGGCCCCTAGCTCACAAAAGTGGTGCTGTAGGATAGGCTAAGCACAAGGTCAGCAGTTCAAACCCACCAGCCAGCTCTTGGAAGCCCTGTTCAGGGTCACTGTGAGTCGGAACTGACTCAATGGCACTTCACAGCAACCTGACCTCATGGGGGTGGGGGGTCGAGCATGAGCTCAGGTGGGACAGAAAGTTTGGAAGGATGCTCTTTGACTCCTGAAGTCAAGATGGCGTTGTAGGACCAGTACTGGGCTGCTAACCACAAGGTCGGCAGTTCAAACCCACCAGCCACTCCTTTGGGAGAAAGATGAGGCTTTCTGCTCATCTTTATAGAGATTTACAGCCTCGGAAACACTATACAAGGCCACTCTGAGTGACCAACACGGTGGTACCTAACGACAGTGACCCTTTGACTGCTGGCTTGCTTTGTGGCTTTAATCGAATGGAACTGCTTTTCTGCAGCCACGGAGATCATCATCCGTCTGTTCTGCTGCGATAAATCGCACTCACTGATGTTCGTTCTTTGAGGAAACCTACTGAGCCATGAAGCCCTGCGCACTGAGAGAGGACACTTACCAGTGCAGGGAGCCGTAGGTGAGAGTGACCACACAGGAAGCAGAATTCTTTCCCAAGAACTGCAGCTCTATGGAGGCCACCCGCTGCAGACCCTGAGGCTGGCATGATTAGGACTGAACAAGGGTCTTTCCTCTCTCCCTCCAGTGGAAATTCAGTCAGTATAGATTAAGGCCCCTCTGAGAACCTTCTATGTTCACAGGAGGGAGCCAGGCCCTGGATATCTGTGTGTGTGTGTGTGTGTGTGTGTGTGTGTGTGTGTGTGTGTGAAAGGGTGGGGAGTGTCAGAGCAGGTGACAGATGAGAACTAGGTGAAGACAAGGGAAAAGCCAGAGGCTGGTCACTAGAGCCAGAGTGATTCACCGACAAGGGCTGGCAGGAGCGGGAGAGGAGGAGGCAGCCAGGCAAGCGAGATCGGCCCCCGTCCAGGCGGATGGAGTTGCCTCTCACAGGCCCTGCAGTGGAGAGGTCTGGCCTGAGTCAGGGGCCTGGTCACTCAGTGCCTGTGAGTCTGAAGCGGAGGGTTAGGGTGGGATACAGGAAGCAGAGCGAGCTCACTGGAATGTGCTATGTGAATGTGGTGTGCAGGGCCAGGGGCAAGCTGCTGTCTGTCTATGGAGAGAGATAGGACTGGGGAGGAAGAGGGCTGGGACTGAAAGGCAACTGCTCAGCTGCTAGTACCTGTGAGCAGTAACAGAATGCAAAACCAAACCCAGGGGCGTCTTCTCACACAAGCGTGACTGGCTGATGGAGCCAAGATACTTACTACAAACTGACTGTTGACTTTTTCTAAGATCCTTTTCTCATTGAGGGCCATGACTTCACCCTTTCTTTTCTTGATCCGCTTTTTCTCCAGCTTCTTGCAGGCATACATTTTGCCTGTGGCTCGTACTTGGCAGGCCCATACCTAGTTTTTAAAGAAAGAGTTTGTTTTTCAGGCTAAAAACCGAAAACTATTTTCTCTACAGCAAAGACAGCAAGGCATCTGCTGCTGCTCGGAGAAAGTGTGTGTGTGTATGAGTGTGGCAGCAGCGCGGTGTGTGAGTGAGTGAGCACTCTTCCCCTTCCTGAGAGGATGAGGATCACGGGGGCTTCCAGGAGGATCCAGGGAGGACTGTGATCACTTGAGAGACCATGGCATTGTGTTCACGTCAGGGCTTCAAGCAGCTTGTGGGAAAACTCAGTTCTCAACTCATTCTCTTTCTCCACAAATGTTTTGAAGCCCCCTCATACATGCTCGTGGTGCATCTGTGCGATTCAAATATATTCCGCACGTCTATTTTGCTTTTTGGAAAACAGCAAAGTTTTCAAATATGAGACTTAAGAGAGTCTTGATTTTTTTAAAGAGCAGCACGCTTTCAGGAGGCTGAGGAAACATCTCACAGAACATGGAGCCTTTGTGCCCTTACCGTCTTTACTTAGTCTTTGTTGTTGTTGTTATGAGCCGTGGAATCGGTTCTGACTCATAGCGACCCTGTACAGGGTTTCCGAGTCTTTATACTTAGTCTTTGTTGTTGTTGTTAAGTGCCGTCGAGTCGGTTCCGACCCATAGCGACCCTGTACAGGGTTTCCGAGGCTGTAAATCTTTACAAAGGGAGCAGAAAGCCTCATCTTTCTCCCGCGGAACAGCTGGTAGTTTCGAACTGCTGACCTTAAGGTTCACAGCCCAATTCGTAACCACTACGCTACCAGAGCTCCTTAGTCCTTAGTATTCTTTAATTTCACTTTAGGAAAACATGTAAACATGCAAAAGTGAAGAAATCGTATAAGGAGCTTCCACGTAAGCATCATCTAGTCTCATGGTTACCAAGACCATAGATCTGGCTCATCTTGCTGATCTGACTCCCCTCTCACCTACCACCAACACCTTGCCCCCACCATGGTAAATCAAAAAGTACTGCTATAAAACCACAGAAACCGTAACAAAACAAAAATATCAAAACCTGAAGCTTGTTTCTCAACACATCCTCCTACTAGGTCAGTACGCTTCCGAAAGGTGGTGTTTCCATCTCCTTTCCTGACGGAGGCCTGGGGTGGCGCTGCGAGTTAATGCACTGGACTGCAAGGCTGGTCTGACCCACAAGGTCAGTGGTTCAAGCTCACCAGCTGCTCCTCAGAAACCCTATACAGGGTCACTATCCATTGTAACTGACTCGATGGCACTTCATAACAACAACAGCAGCAACCCTTCCCTAAAGAATTCTTCACTCTTCAACTGTAACAAAATGACATCTCTGGAGTCCTCCTGGGACCCTAACCGGGTTCCTTTACAGTGTTCTTTGAGTTTGGGGAATAAGAGAAGTCTGAAAAAGCAAGATCAGGACTCTCGGGTGGATGGTGCAAAGTTTCCCAACAAAATTCTCAGAGGACAGCTCTTGTTGTCACCTTCATCAAAGAATGAACAGGACCAATGTCCTGATGGAAAACCATTCCTCAGCACAACTGTCCTGGCCTCTCCCTCACCAATGCAGTTTTCATTGGTCATAAAACATCTTCATAATAAATAGGCCCCTGTGAGTATCCTGTGTCCTTTGAGAAAATCTACCAAGATTATTTCTTGGGAATCCCCTAAAAAATTGTTAGAAATGAATCCCAATGTCGCAGAAAAGACACT